TCCCTAGTTTGGGTTTGTCTGATGTAACTTCGTAAAATGTTCAGATTATTTATTCTCAAAAGAAACACCAGTGAGGTGGTGTTGGGTCTTTCTTGATATATCACGTCAAAGCAATCTGAATGTCATTTATCCTTACAGCCCTGGTGATATTTAACTCCATGTCTTGATTAAAAGTGGTTATCTGGGCCAGGTATGGTGACGCATGCCTGAAACACCAGCACTTAGGAGGCTGAGGCAAGAGCATCCATGTGAGGGAAGACCAGCCTGGGCTCCACAGTGAGCTCCAGGCCAGCCTGAACTGCATAGCAAGACCCTGTGTCAGAAAGGAAAAAAAAATTATTTGCCAAGTTTCTCCATCTTAAACTGCTGTTTCCTTTATAGTTTAAAGTATCGTGTAGGAAGACACTTTAAAAATATACTAGTTTGGGGGCTGGAGAGATAGCTCAGTGGTCTAAAGCACCTACTTGGAACAAGCTTGTCTAAAGCACAGGGACCGCGGTTCAATCCCCCAGCACCACATGCCAGCCAGCCGCGCCCCCTGGTGGGCTGAGCTGGCCACACACACACACTAAATAAAAATGTTTAAAAAAATATATATATATATACTAGTTTGCATCAAACTTTCTTTCTTCACTAGTTTTAGCATTTAGTGATGTTTCTTACATTCTTCTGTAAGAAAGTTGCACTGTTCTCTTTCATTTATTCATTTGTATCAGTATGGACTCATGAATTATCGTATTCTGTGATGTACCTCTTCTATTACTCTCTTATGCCCCAAACCTTCATGTCCAATCTTTTTATCTTTTGTTATATCTCCAACATTTTTCCAGCTTTTCCTTTCAGGTACAGCCAGATGGTCTAGGCTCCTACTGTACTTTCCTTGTATCAAAGTTAGTAACAGTTATTTCTCTAAGGGGTTCTGGTTTCTTTCAGTGGAGAACATTATTTAAAAACTTCCTTCTGGGCTGGAGAGATGGCTCAGTGGTCTAAAGCACCTACTTGGAACAAGCTTGGCAAAGCACAGGGACCACGGTTCGATTCCCCAGCACCACATGCCAGCCAGCCCCGCCCCCTGGTGGGCTGAGCTGGCCACACACACACACACACACACACACACACACACACACAATAAATAAATATAAATAAATAAATAAAAAATAAAAAAAAATAAAAAAAAATAAAAACTTCCTTCTGGGTAACTAATGTATGTTAATTATTTTCAGTATATATGCTTAATGCTATTTTCTGATATGGCATAGTAATTTTTTTAATCAGTGTCCTTTTTAAGTACTGCACCACCACACCTGGCTTGTATACATATATTGTACATACATATATTTTATAAGCTTCTTCCAAGATTTTTTTTGGGAGGAGCGAGGGGTTGAACCTAGGAGGTTTGAATGTTAAGAGGCAACATTAGCTATAGAGAGGCTGGAGAGATGGCTCAGTAGAATAAGTGTTTCCCTGGCAAGTTCAAGGGCCGGAGTTCAATCCCTGGTTCCGCCAAAAAAACAACAAAACAAAAACAAAACAAAACAAAAACCAAACCAAAACAAAAAATCCCCAAACATTAGCTATAGATCCAAATCTCTGTTCCACAATTTTTACTACATAAAGTTCCAGAAACAGTCTTGTGGAACAGAGGCTTACACCTCCTGGATTTTCAAAAACATCACCAAAGTGTATTCCAAAATAGTACCAAATGGTAGTACCATCAAAGGTATATAAGACATGTTGTAACTAGCTATGTTTGTAATATCTTTCTGAATTTTACCAATTTTAGAGGTTTTTTATCTTTCTAATGGCCATTGGCCATGTATAGTTTGTGATCTATTAATGAACTTTGCTGTCTATATTCTGCCAAAAACACTGAAAATTTTCTTAGGCTTACTTTTTATTTATTTATTTTTCTAAAATTTTTATTTATTTATTTACTTGTGTGTGTGTGTGTGGGGGGCAGCTCAGCCCACTAGGGGGCGGGCTGGCTGGCATGTGGTGCTGGGGGATTGAACCGCAGTCCCTGTGCTTTGCTAAGCTTGTTGTAAGTAGGTGCTTTAGACCACTGAGCCATCTCACCAGCCACTACTTTTTAAAAAAATTTTCTTAGGCTTACTTTTTAAAATCTTTTGATTGTACAGAATGAAGTACATGGGTCAACAGGAAAGCATAATGAATTTTCATGTCCCCATTGTGCATCATCAATGTGATTATACCATTTTCTTTTTTATGAAGTATTTAAAAACAAACCTCAGATATGTTGGCATTTTATTTGTAAATACTTTGGCATACAGACATTTCTTTCTTTTTTAACAAAAAGGACTTCATTTGTAAAGGGTCCCTGGGATGACCCCTGGAAGGCTGGCTTCTGAGGGGTCAGGGACATTTGGGAAGACATGCTTGAATGGGGTGTGCCCTCCATCCTGTCACCCTGGGCTGCTTCAGGGACAGGTGGCACTGGCTCAAAGATAGGGTAAGCTTCAGGGGCCTCAGCTTCCAGCAAATGTGCAACAGGATCCTCCTTGGTCAGCAGTGGGTGTTCATCATTCCCACTTGCAGGTATGACTGTGGGTTCTTTCTCTTGGGCCAGCAGTAGGGACTGAACCTCCTCAGTGACCCCTTTTGGGGGTCCAGCAGGTGACACAGGGCAGGTAGGCTGGGCGTGTGCCCTCAGGGCTGGGCTCAGGATCCTTGGGAGTGGAAACTCTGGTTGCTGTTCTCATCACTAAGATCCAACAGGATAACAGGGCCATCTCCTCAGGGCCACAGGATCTCTGCCCTGGCACCTATCTGCTGTCCTTTCTCCTCCAGAGGGTTCCCCGTGGCACCCACTTGAAGATATGAAGAGAAATGTTCCCCACAGTCATCAAGTGCTTGTCCCATCACCAGACGTTCTTGCTGGTTGCCATCACCTTCTTCATGTCCTCCTTGGTCCGACTCTGGGTCTAAGCCTACATGGTCTGGCTAGCCATGGTGGCAGTGCTGGGGCTGAGCCTACAGCAGGGTTACCTCTAGTTGGGTGGACTCAGGCTTGGGCTCCTCACCAGACTTAGGTACCAGCAAATAGATGTTTCTATCTATCAGATAAGAACTTTTTTGAGGGAGCAATACTGGAGATTGAATCCAGGACATAATACATGCAAAGCAAGCATTGTCATGTGTTACAAAACTAAAATTCTTTCTAGACTACATAAGCACTATACTATACTACAAAATTAACACATTTAAATACCCTTTAGTAACTCAAAATTGGTTTAGTTCCCAAACAGGATCCATATATTGTATTATTATAAAAGTGCCTGCCTGGACCTGAGTTCAATCTCTGGTATCTCCCCTGGTGGGGGGGGGGGGGGACGGACACACAAAACAAAACAAAATCCACCACCACCAACAAAACCAATAGACCCAAATCCCATATATTACTTAATTATCATGGTATTAGGGATTAAATGGATCTTTGCACTGAGCTACACTCCAGCCCTTTCTGTTTTTTGAGACACTCTGATCTTGAATTTGTAATCTTTTTATTTATTTTTTTTGCAGAACCCGGGATTGAACTCAGGCCTTTGCACTTGCCAGGGAAGTGCTTATTCCACTGAGCCATCTCCCTGGCCTCTTGAATTTGTGATCTTTCTGCCTCAGTCTTTTACTATACTCAGGTCCAGCTTCCCTTTTTTTTTTTTTTTTTTTTTGTATTTTTTAGGGAAGTGTCTACAGGGTGTTCAGGGTCTCACTACTAGATCAGACTCCTAGTGATCCGCCTCTTTACAGTCTCAATTGTGTCTCAGTGTGCCCCAGGGTTGGGGCCAGCACGGCAGGCCCAGGGATCGAACCTCTAGCCTTTGCTTGCACGTGCTTTACTCTGCTGAGCTATTTGGCCAGCCCTCCCAATTTTAAATGGCATTTGTCTATTAAGGCTAATTTGTCCAGTAAAATATCCCATTAGAATTATGCAATTTTTTCTTTTTCCTCTGTTTCCTTTAAGTTAGCAGAGGGACAGAAGGTAGATTATATTCAGACTCAAACATCATAGGTGATACTGTGTACTTCCTCCTTACAACAGTAAGATACAAATAATGTTTGGGTGACCCTCTTTTAGTGATGACATATCTGATCAAAGAGTACAACTGATTGTGAGGCTCAATGTTGTTCATCTAGTCCATTCTCCGGAAAGTCCTCCATGAAATGAATGTTTTAACTAGTGTTTTTGGCCATCTGGTGGTGATTTTCTCTAACAAGGTCCCAAAAATGTTCATTTTCTATCATGGCTTCTGCACTTATTATTTTTCTTTGAAGTAATTTTCTGATTATCTGGTCACACTAAAATACAGTTCATATGGAAAAGGTAGCATAAGTACTAGATTATTATTTTTTTTAGATTCTTTTTCTTTATGAAACTATATTTTATTTCTGATTTTTTTTTTTCTGTGCCTGGGATGGATCTCAACATCTTGTACATTTCAGGCAAGTATCTGATTATTGAACTACAGTCCCACACACTTGATATTTTAAGTTAATTCTTTGTATATAAAGAAGTTAGCAAGTGATATTTATTGCTGAAATAAATATCTGGATATAGGGATTAGTCAAACTTCTTTATCTACTTGAAAGGATTTCAAATTTAGTGTCAAGTACAGGTTGATTAAAAAAACAGGTTGATCTTAGGTGATGAAAAAGTAAAGCTGCAATTAACCACTAAGAAGAATATATGCAGTGTATTATTTGTTGAAAAAAAAAAAAAAAAAAGTAAAGCTGCAAAATAACAATTAACAAAAGCATCTTACCTGAACAATATTGTCTACATTGCTAAATTCGACACACTTCTGCCCTCTCTGGTGGTCACAGTAATATTTATTTTGTTTCCACTGAGGGGGTGAGTGGGCACCAGATTGTGGATTGTTTGGTACGCTGAGCTGCATCATCACCATTCCTCCACCAGGTGGCGCTGGCGGCACAGCTGAAACCCAGAATTAGGATGCTGCAATCAATGTATTTTAACAACTAGCTGGCATCTCTGAATATTAGGATAACAGTATTACATTTCTGAATAAAATTTTACCTTACATATTTAATCAATACTTAATCTCTAGTATATGATATTACAAGCACTGTGTTTAAAAAGTCTAAAAGTGAATTGTTTAGGCCCAAATATCTCTAAAAATAATAGTCCTGTTGTTACTGCATTTCACACACTTCTCACAAGACCTAGTAAAAAGCAGCATGACATACATGATCTACAAAAATCTTTAATTTTTTAAATGAATTGTACTAAATAAGTATTATTCTAAATTTAAAATATTGTGAAAAATCAGTACTCTACAGAAATATTTACGCAGTAAAAACTCATCTTTACAGAAAGGAAATTAAAAGTTTGAGACATGGGGGCCAGAAGGGTATACTAGTTCCTGAAATGTCCTCTAACTCTGGGATAACTGTATCACCTCTTCTGTTTCATCTTTTCATTAGAAAAAAGGGCTGGGAAGTCTTCTCAGCTGACTTTATACATTTGTAAGGACCATGTAAGTGTCACAACACTCTGCTAACTGTACAGCAGAAATAAGCAAATGACTGTATCTTTTCTGATGGATCTGTCTGGTGTACTAGTACTGAATCTGTACGTGTACTTCCTGTTACACACAAGCACTGATGGGTGCGACAGGATCCTCGCCCTGCCTCCAAGACTTCAGTTGGTGCTGTGCTATGAATCAAGATGGTTTCTGGTTCCCTTGATGTAGAAACAAGTTGACTAGCATGGCCAGCCACGGAAGGGCTGACTGCATACAGGTATCTGAAAATTTTCTTCAAAGTGGCCCACTGTTGTTATTTACTGATAGTCATGTATCTGTTTCTCAGGAGCTTCCATATATTAAAATATCATTAGAATAAAATTTGGTATAATACCAGAGGTTTGTATAAAATTTGACAGAAACACAGAGGAAGAGTGAATTTTTTTAAATTCTGGAAGAAGTCTTTGTAAAACAGGTGGTTTTCTGAAACACATCTTATGAATGAGAAGACTTTAGCCAACATGGGATGGTCAATCAGCATTCCAGACAGAATGAAAAACAGGTACAAAAGTATTTTGGTGGGGGATGAAAGAATATGCTGTATTATAAAACAAACTTCTGCATGATTTGAGCACACGTGTATAATTAGGGGGCTTGCTTGCCAGGGAATTTAGGTGGGAATTCTGTCAGAGGAATGATGCAGGATTTTGGTTTCAGGACAATTTTTGAAACTGTGCCTATGTGTGTGTGTAGGTATATATTACATGTATGTGTCTTGGAGAGGAGGAAAAGTTGGGGGTGAGAACAGCATGTAATAAGCAGATTTTTAAGAGTTTACTACAAATAAGAAAAATTAGGTTGGGGATATAGCTCAGTGGCACAAGACCTGTCTGGCAAGTGAGAGGTCCTGAGTTCAATTCCTGATAACACACACACACACACACACACACACACACACAAAGGTAATCAGGGTTGTGGAAAGGGTAACTGTATCAGTATGAAGGGGAAGGACAGAGGTGGTTTAATTATAGTTTTGAAATTTTTGTTTTGGCGTTAGTGGAGGGTGAGGTAAGAGATGCACAAAGAGCTGGAAAATAACTACACTGATGTGCCTCTGACATATTAGATAGAGATGCTCAGTAGGGATCCGGCTGTGCTGACTTTCTCAGCAGAAATAAGATTTGGGAGGTGCTGGCAAAAGGCAGGGGCTGAATCTGTAGGGCAGGTAGGCTGGACGGTCTATAAAGAGCAAGGCGAGAGGTGAGAGGAGGGCCTGGAGAAGGGGCCCCAGAGAACCGCACGTACAGTGGAGGAGAGCCAGGACAGCGGAAAACAGCCATGGAGAGGAAGGAGTGGACTGTGTACCCTAGGCCTGATGCAGCGTGACAGCTCAATGCCCTGAGAATATGTCTCATATTACAAGTTGAGAATCTTCTTATAGAAATACTAAAGAAAATTAATGGAGGTGTTTCTCAAATGGGCAAACCATGAACTGTTTTTGAGTAATCTATTCGTACCAGCACACTGGTGGCCGTGAAGCTGTTGGGAACCACATGGTGAAGTAGCTCGAGGAAACTGTACTTCTGGTCCTGGGGGCTGCAAGTAACCTACTGAAGAGCTGTGGGGAAAAAGACAATACAAACACAGCACGATGAGAAGAAGCAGACAAGAATCTCTGAAGTAACAGTCCTACAAAGATATATAAATAGATTTTTCATGCTAGTAGGGGCAAGTCAAACTTTGTGAATTAGAAGTACTTTGTTGGGCAAAATATGCTTTCTGATCATAGCACTGAAAAACCAGGAGATTATTAAACTACTCTCACTACTATTATTACTGCTATTACTCTGTTATTATTACTATTACTTTATTACTATTTATTATTATTATTTTTTTTTTTTGTGGAACTGGGGATTGATCCTTGCGCTTGCCAGGGAAGCGCTTATTGCACTGAGCCATCTCCCCAGCCCCTACTCTACTACTATTAAGCTACGATCTATGTGTGTCTGATTACAGAAACTAATAAGGTATTCTCTAAATAATGAAAAAAAAAAAAAAAAAAAAAGCTCTACACTTACAAATCATTCCAAATGTCTTTTGTATTGTTCAAATAATTATTTTTAAAAAAGAAAACTAAGAGCTGGCCATGGCGGCACATGCCTATAATCCCAGCATTTGGGAAGTTGAGGCAGGAGGATCAATGCAAGTTGGAGACCAGCCTGGGATACAAAGCGAGCTCAAGCCCAGCCTGAACTACACAGCAAGACCCTATCTCATCCCCCCCGAACCCCCCCCAACTAAGTCATTAGTTTATCAAATAAGGGGCATACTTGGAGCTGGTCTGTAGCTCAGCGGTACTGCCCCTGCACTGCATGAGTGGTCCTGAATTCCACCCCATCAGAATCCTCCAGATTCTGATGAGAATATATAATTTGTCACTCATAAGACTCAAAATAAGTACGTTCTGAAAAAGGTATTAAGAATGAAGGCATCAACATATATGTTTAAGCATATTCTAATGAGCAAACCTGAAAAAGGGGTCAATTTGTGTAATAAATTACTCTTGTATTTTTAAAGTTTTTGATACTTATCCTTTTTTTAAAAAAATTATTTATTTGTACATTTATTTAGTGTGTGTGTGTGTGTGTGTGTGTGTGTGTGTGTGGCCAGCTCAGCCCACCAGGGGGCGGGGCTGGCTGGCATGTGGTGCTGGGGGATTGAACCGCGCGGTCCCTGTGCTTTGCTAAGCTTGTTCTAAGTAGGTGCTTTAGACCACTGAGCCATCTCTCCAGCCCCTTGATACTTATCCTTAATAAGGATTTGCCATAATTTCTCTAAAACTACAGTGAATTCTTTTAGAATAATAGTTTAAAGACATGGAATGGTACTACTGAAGCTAATACAAATGATTTTTCTTTTCTATTGGCCGAACTAGGAATTGAACTCAGACCCTTGTGCTTGCCAGGGAAGCACTTATTCCACTAAGCCATCTCCCCAGCCCCCTGAAGCTAATACAAATGAACAAGAAAATTTTTTTTCAACTTTTTTTTTTTTTTTTTTTTGATACCAGGAATTGAACTCAAGACCTTGCACTTGCCAGGTTGATGCTGTACCACTGAGCCATATCCCCAGCCCTCCAGATCAGGACATTTAATTTATATCTAAAGTATCATTAGTCTGTCTGTCTTTGTTTCTTTCGTACAGGGTCTACAGGGTCTCACCACAGATTGAACGCAATAGTGATTTTCCTGTTTTAGCCTCCCAAGCACTGGGATTATAGGCACATGTCAGCATGCTGGGGGTGGGGCCGGCAGGGCACACCAGGGATCAAACCAGGTCCCTGCATCTGCCTACGCAGGCGCTTTAGCTGAGTTATCTGGCTGGCTCTATTTGTTAATTTTTTAATCTTTTACTTACTTATTTGGCACAGGGTCATGATCATGCTCCACAGTTCAGACTCATAGTGATCCTCCTGTCTCAGCCTCCGCAGCGCTGGGATTACATGCACTACCACGCCTGGTTTTGGTGGCTGGCATAGTGTGCATGCACTACCCCAGGTCCTTTTGCTTGCCAGGCAGGTGCTTAGACCCCTGAGTTATCTCCCCAGCCCGCTAGTCTTCTGTTTAATTTTTAGAAAAGTAGTATTAATCAACTAAATAATTATTTTGGCACTCGCCTGCCATATGGTTATATTACAAAATGCTACTTTAGATTCTACTACTGAACGAATTACAGAGAATACAGGAAGATGTGAAATGATACCAGATGATACACTCAGTCATGACCAGACCACAATAAACTCTGAGAGACAATGTTTGAGGACATAAACAATATTTATGGGATGTATATGTTTTAGTTAATGACTTAAGGAAATTAGGGGGACCGAAGATATAACACAGTGGCACAGTGCTGTTTGAGTCCTGATTAAAAAAAAAAAAAAAAAAAAAAGGAAGTTAGGAATTAGAAAAATTTTAAAGACAAGAATGTTACTATGGTTATGTGGCTTTTTAAAAACACCGTTAGAGCTTTACAGAAACCTATATGGAAATACTTACACATGAGAGGCACCTACCTATAATACCAACACTTTATGGAGGCTGAGGCAGGCTCAAAAACAAAACTATACCCTCCAACCAGTCAAACAAAAAATAAAAACAAACAACTTAAAATACTTACAAATGAAATAACATGGTATCTGGAATTTATTTCAAAATAACATGGGCGAGGGAGTGGCACAGAGATGACAATAGATGAGTCATTAGCCCAGAGTAGCTGAAGTTAAGTGTGGCTGGAGGGTTCAGCACAATTGTGTTTACATTTATGCATGTTTAGGTGCGTCCAGGTGGGCTGGGGAGACAGTTCGGCTGGTGTGTGTGGGTGGTCTAAGCTCCTGTTTGGCCAGCGCAAGGACCTGGGTTCGATACGAAGTACCGCATACCATGCCAGCCCTGAAGCACGCTGCCCTGAAACAGGGCTTGGTAGTGTACACTTGTAATCCCAGCGCTGGGGAGGCTGAGACAAGGGGATCAGTACAAGTCCAAGCTGCATAGCAAGACTCTATGTCAGATAAATAAATAAAGATTAATCCTAATTAAGTAAAAATATCTTTTTTTTTAGTGACAGTAGCTCTGCAATTGAATAAAACAGAAAAATAAAAGAACGATGAAGAGAAGATTTTGTAAAAAGTGATTTAGGGACTATAATGGTAGATACGTTGTGTCAACTTGAGAAGTTTAGAGGTTTAAGCAACTCAACAGGTAGCCAGGGCTCTCACAATTTTATTTTTAATCATTTATTTATTTGGTACAGGGTATTGCTATAGCTTGGACTCACAGTGATGCTCCAGTCTCAGCCTCTCCAACACTGGGATTATAGGTGTGCCCCACCACACCCGGTTTCAGTGGCCAGCACAGCCCGCCCAGGATTCTGGGGCCCGCTTGGTACGTGCTATCAGGGAATGAACCTGGGTCCTTGCGCTTGCAGGCAGGTGTGTATAGACCACCAAGCTTTCTCCCTAGCCCAGGTCCTCACTTGGTAAACACCCTTTTCCTGTACAAGAGCGCATGGAGACTCTGTGAGTGCTGTACCCACCCTGGGTGGTGGTGGTGGTAGCCTGCTTAGGATACGAGGGAGGAAAACAGGGAGGAAAAGACGACCGTCTCCTGTTTTTGTTCTTGCTGCTTCTGCTGCCTCCCGCCTCTTTAACCTGCTGCCACTGTGTGATGCCACCCTGCCTTGGAGTCAGCTAGTCATGGACTGAAATCTCCACAAATTGTTACCTAAACAAACCTTTCCTTCCTTAATTTTGGGTGTTGGGTATTTTGTCTCAGTAATGAGAGTAAAATAACACATGGATCATAGTAAAAATAGTACTTTCTGAATCTGGTGTTAACCAGTTAGATTGTTTTTTTTTTTCTTTTTTGCGGAACTGGGGATTGAACTCAGGCCACTGCACTTGCCAGGGAAGTGCTTATTCCACTGAGCCATCTCCCCGGCCCCAACCAGTTAGATTGTATATCATTTTTTGTTTTGTTTTGAGACAAGGTCTTGCTGTGTAGTTCTTTTTTTTTTTCTTTACAACTGGGGATTGAACTCGGGGCCTTGTGCTTAGGCAAGCACACTTATTCTACTGAGCCATCTCCCCAGCCCCCTTGCTGGGTAGTTCAGGCTGGTCTTGAACTCACTACAGAGTCCAGTATGGCCTCGAACTTGCAAAGAACCTCTTTCTTTGGCCTCCTGAGTGCTGGGATTACAGGTGTGTGCCACCATAGTTGGCTCCAGACTGTACAGAATTATTAGCTACCTCTGGAAATAGGATAGCTTAAAAAACAATTTGTGAACATGTCAATAATGAGAAGAGAGATAAAGTTTCTCATAATTTTTTAAAAATCATTTGATACAGGGTCTTCCTAAGCAGTTCAGACTTGTAGTGATCCTCCTGCTTCAGCCTCCCCAGTGCTGGGATTACAAGTGTGCGCCACCATGCCCGGTTTCAGGGCTTGCACAGTGTCTCTGGGGACCTGGGGCTGGCACTGCATGTGGCACTAGGGATTGAACTTGGACCTTGAGCTTGCCATGCAGGCTTTTAGACCTGGGAGGAAAGTTTTTATACTTTCTTCTAATTCATTTGAACAGCTCCCTTGGGTGATGTGGCCCTTCTCACCCTGATCTTGTTCCTTAGCATATGTTATTCAAGTTCTGAGCCACAGAGGTGACAGGAAACCACCCCAAAAAAGGAAGAAAATTTTCATATCCTTGAACTGAGCAATGCATCCCACATTATTAAATTATAAATGCCAATACAGTTTGTGGTAAATGAACACAAATCAATTTCAGAATTGTTTTTATGTTTCTTTTTTTGAGACAGGGTATTGCTGTACAAATCAGACTGGCCTTGAGCTTGTTTTATAGCTCTGGCTGGCCTGGAAATCACGGCAATCTTCTTGCCTCAGCCTCTGAGTGCTACAGGCATGCACCACTACGCCCGGCCCAGGTTTCAGTATTATGAAAAGTCCCAAGACACACAGACAATAGATTAAGCGAAGTGCTATGGTCTCATATCACTTAAAACATTTTAGAAAAGTGAAAAACAGTCAGTATTTAAATGTCATCATTTTT